AAACTGTAAGCTCGAGGAGAAAGGATGAAGAGGCATTTGTGAAGGCTTTTGCTACTAGGAGCAGCAAAGTTGCAGCCAAAGGTTTTCAAGCAGCTCCTAAAATAACATTCATTCATGATGAAAGCAAACATCTGCCCATTGCACACACATGTGCAAATGAGCTTCTGCGTTTTGTAAGTGAAACAACAACGGCTGATGATGATGCAGCACTCACCACAACAGTAAATGTATGTTAAGCTGCAATAACATTTGGTTATTCTGGTAATCTGATTCCTTATGAACCCTTCAGCTCCAAGTTTAATTTAGATATCAAGGAACAATATCAGGAAGTTATTAAAGCAAATCCAGAACCTGTTATGTCCACCTCTTAAAATCTGCATCATAACTAGTCCAGAGTTTCCTGAACTTTCTTTCTGTTAATGATAGAAAGTTGTCCAATAATACAATAAGAACATTATTTATCCGAGAGCTGCGTTCATTCTTAGCTAACAGATCTTTAGCTCCTCACCTCCAATCTAGACAGGTCATGAATGAAATGATTGATGGTGTTTAACCAGAGACTTCCTGAGGCATCGATTTAACTTGGACCCTATTGGCTGCTCTTTCTGTGACGAAGATGCAGCTACACCATTGTTTGGCTTCAAAGCTTCACAATCTAAAGACACTGTATTGATCAAAAACAGAATATTGACCTTTAAATTAAATGTTAGAATAATCTATGGTCTTTTTTTTATATATATAAACAAATGCCGTTAGTTAAAAACTCGCCCCGCTTTCACCGCCTTTCATATAATTGGTTTATTACGTCACCCAACCGCATATTTCATCTAATTTTGTTCTGTAATTTACTTTTTTGAATTATTATTTCAATATATCTAATTTGATTCTTGTCACCATGTACTGTCGGTCCTTGTCTTTCCGCTCGTGTCTGTTTGTAGCGCTGTCTGAAGGATTTGCTGCGCCAAGTTTTAGTTAAAACAAAAACCGGCAGCCCTGCAGCCGCCTTCATCCGGGACCTCCGGGGCGGGGCAGTTGAGCCAGTCGTTTGTGAATGGAGCAATTTGATTGGACGGTTTTAATGTTTTCCTTTTCAAACTCGCTCTGAACCGGAAGCTCTAAACGAGCCGGTGAGAACTCGCAGCTCAGTGCTTGAATCCTCCGAGTAGCGGCGGCAGGGCTCAGGCTGGCGGAGACCATGAGAGGAAGAGCTCAGCGCAAGGTAGGACTGAATGAACACGCAGGCAGAGCTCCCACTGTCAGGTGTGAGGCTTCACACGCACAGACACGAGGGGCGTTCACCCGTGGTTACTGTGATCGGCAGGTGGTGACGTCAGGAAGGCTGACGGGAGCAGTCAGAGGGGGTCTGTGAGTACGCCAGCCTTCATTTAGCATCTTCTGTGTCTGCGTGTCTGCGTGTCTGCGTGTGCCTGTCAGCGCTCTCCTCACTGTTGTTTTCAGAGACACCTTAAATCCAGGAGCAGCTCCCTGCCCTGAGCCGGCCTACTCCCTGTACTCCACCGACTCCGAGGGCCAGGTGATGAGAGCGTTCACGCTCCGCCTACATTATGTGGCGACATGTGAAGCTAACACTTTTATTAGGAGTTCTCAGGATTTATTCACTTGGTTGTGTCGCAGTACTAAATATTAACAGTGTCATCTAGGACAGGTATCACATCCAGGCATGACCAAGTCTTTACCACAACACACACCTCAGGGTAGTAAACATGGGAAGGTGAACAGAGGAAATCTAGCA